CATAAGAGCAACATGACGATAACAAAACAAGACACTAATGTCTGTACTTCTGTTGTATGGTTGGTAAAAACTGTTGACATATATTTATTCTATCTTGTAGCCCATTAAATGTCGAAAACGAATGACCGTCTTTTAGAATAAGTAGACAAAAATAATTATATTATAGTAAGGAACAAGTAGTCTTGCGGACTGAGTGCAGGGATTGCAAATATGAAGGTCTCGAGTTCAAATCCCACCCATCACCTTACGATTTTTTCCGGGTCCNATACTTTTCATCGAGTTAATCAGTTGATCGGCGAACTAAATCAGATCTCTAAAGATTAATTTGAGTGAAATCTCGAATTAATTAATTCCCCTTTCACAAAGCAATGTGTCAGTGAATATATATTTGTTCGTTTTCGACATATTGTATTTTTGCTGAAATTTATGACGTGTTGTTGGCAACTTGTTGTCATATTGCTCTTTATGTTAGTGATAAACCGTTGACAGCAAATATACAGCAAGTTGTCAGAAACACATTGTGAATACGTGTCATGTCAAACCAAAGACAAATGCCTGACTCACCTTGTTCTAAATTTGCTGAAAACACAAGCGTTTTGTTTTCGGCAACATGACAGCAAAAACACAGACAGGTGGCTATCAGGGTTGTGTGATATATGACGGAAATAGAAGGACNAAAAAAAAGTTTCTGTCTAGATTTCAATTTTACATCGCCTAAAATTAACGCGCTTTCAAAAACAAATAATTTAAACATTTATTATTTAATTGTTAATTATTTAACAATTATTTACTTTTNATATAGAACTATAAAACTATATAATCTCGAACCTGGACTAAAAAGTATCTTAGAGTAGATCGTTTGTTTAAGTTTAAATCACTTGAAAAATATTATAAAACATATATTTTAATGCCTCTTTTTTAGAAAGCTTGTTTATACAACATGGCGGACATACCTGCTTTCATTTTTATGGCTGATTTTACGTTTAAGTCAGAATTTTGATCTATAAGTCAAGTTTCCTTGCTCAAAGACTGAATGTCTAATTTTGAGAGCAACTCTTCTTAATCAGGGCATTTTTACTTCAAAGTTTTGAACTTTGAAGTCGTTTTGTCAACCAATAGGGCATTGCAACTAGTAAGACCAATTTCTCTACTTAAAAGTTACATCGACTTCAAAAGCATTATCGATTGTTTCGATCGAGATAAAGACATAAAGATATAAAGAGGTTAGAGTATCATTGTTATCGGCATCAAATATAGACGCATATCTGTATTCGTTGACAGCACACGCGTTCTGATAAAATATAAAAGTGATAAAAATGAGTGCTGATCATTTCACAATTGTGGCTATAATTAAAAAGCATGGAAACATTAGTAAAATGGAATATTCATATGTTCCACATCAGTGGGTTAAAAGTGATTACGTATTTTGGCCGTTAAACCAATCTTTGACATTAAGGAAAGACCCATCGAGTGTTCCTGAATTGAGTTGGAAGAAGTTTAAATGTAAAATTAAAAAAGACTACATTTTCGGAAAGAATGAAGCCGAATTATGGGAAAAAGAATTTATAAACGCATCGCGTACTAAGTCAGAAGAAACGTACATATATACAGGGTGGACCATTTTAATCTATAATGGAAATTATCTCGGAATGTTGGTGAGATACAACAAAATGTTTTAGACAAAAGTTGTAGGGGGCAAAAGGGGTCAACTAATAATATCAATGGCCATGACCTTGAACCTCATTTTTAAGGTCATTTCAAGGTCAAAGTAATTTTTTAAAATGGGAACACCTACTTTTGACCCTGGATTTGAAAAGGACGGGAAATTTTACTCTTAAAATGTCCATTTTTGATTCATTCAAGGTCACAAGGCACCCGAGTAACGTTACTATCCGAGATCTTACTCGTAGGGCTCGGGATGGACAACTCCGTCGAGAACGTCGTCATCACGAATATGGAGAAAATGACAATCGCGTTGTTACGGTCCTTGCAGTAATCCACCTTAATCCTCACTATAGTTCTCGGCAAATTGTAAGAGAACATGGAATACCAAAATCAACAGTTCTTAGAATTCTCCATGCCCAGAGGTATCATGCTTACCACATTTCACTAACTCAGGAACTAACGCTTCGGCAATTCGCAGAACGTCTTCAATTTTGTCACTGGGCCGTACAGAATCCAGAGTTATTTACTTTTGTTATGTTTTTAGATGAGGCAACATTTAAAAATACTGGAGAACTAAACAGACATAATAGCCATTACTGGTCAGATGTGAATCCACACTGGCATAGAGACGTTGATAACCAACATCGTTGGAGTCTAAACGTTTGGTGCGAGATCGTAAATGGCTATCTTATTGGCCCTTACTTTTTTGACGGCAATGTAAATCAACATAATTTTTTAGAATTATTGAAAGACCATTTAACTGGCTTGCTGAAGATGTTGATTTGGAAACAAGACGAAGAATGTGGATACAATTAGATGGTGCAACACCGCATTTTGCACGAATTGTAAGAACATTTTTGAACAAACAATACCCAAACCGGTGGATTGGACGCAGAGGTCCCATTGCATGGCTTTCTAACTCACCTGACCTAACTTCACCTGATTTTTATCTTTGGGGATTTCTGAAAAACGTTTGTTTTGAACAGCAGCCAACAACAAGACAAGATATAATGGAGCGCATAAGAAGAACTTGTGCATCAATTCCAAGAAATGTCCTGCTTTCCACTGTAGCACATTTTTTGCAAAAATGTCAATTGTGCATTGAAGCGAATGATGCTCAGTTTGGGCACTTACTTAATGGCTAAGTTAACGTCGTTGTTTCTGGGTAGCGCAAAAAATAGGAAGTTAGCGCACTTAACATGTGAGATTTAATTGTTTCAAGAAAAATAAGCGACTAAACCTGCTGGTAAATATGGTTTCTAGGTAATGAGTGAGTTAAGGGATACGTAGGTTAGCTCGCTTGTGGTGTAGAATCAAATAATCTTAAGAAAAATAAGCGACTAAACTCGCTGTTCCCAGGATCTAGTGGGTAGGACTACTTGCGATTTGGTAGAGGTGGTTTCTTGTAGGCATTGGGTGAATTATCAAAGGTTTTGCTTACAAAATAACTCTGACCTTAACACAACCTTCAGAATCGAGTCAAAGGTCAAAGTAATAATTGGTACCAGGACATAATCCTTTCCATCCCGTGCAACTTTTGTCGGAAATGTTTGGCTGTTTTTAAACTCTAAACACCTATTTTTCAACATTTTTAGCAAATATGGCCTTTATCTGACCTGGCCGTGACCTTGAAAGATTCAAAAATATTTTTTTTTAGTGTAAAGTTTCTCGCTCTTTTTAAATCCGGGATCAAAAGAACATGTTTCCGTTTACACCTTCTGTTTTTAACCTCTAAATATCCGTTTTTCAACATTTTTGGAAAATTTGACCTTTATTTGACCTTGCTGTGACCTTGAATAAATCAAAAATGGACATTTTAAGAGTGAAATTTCCCGCCCTTTTCAAATCCAGGGTCAAAAGTAGATGTTCCCATTTAAAAAAATCACTTTGACCTTGAAATGACCTTGAAAATGAGGTTCAAAGTCATGGCCATTGATACCATTAGTTGACCCCCTTTGCCCTCTACAACTTTTGTCTAAAACATTTTGTTGTATCTCGCCAACATTCCGAGATATTTTCCATTATAGATTAAAATGGTCCACCCTGTATATGTATATATTAATAGACTTGTCACTTTCCCTTAACTTCTCTTACATTGAATCAAATTTGAGTGCAAAAATTTATTGTGTTCCAACAATTACAATTTCATATATTTGTGTACATTTATGTAGCTTGAAAATTAATCGGCAGCTTCTTAATTACAATAACAATGAGAATAAGGAAACAGTAGAGAAAACAAACATCGACACGCTATTTGACGATATTGTTGTATCAACGCCGAACATTCAGACACATGCTGCTGCTGCTTCAGAGAATAGCAAGTCGAATAGGAAAGAAATAAATTTGACTTATCGAAACACAGATGGTATACTGATACCAGAGGTCGGGGATAAGGATTTATTGAACATTGCAGATGATGTGTCAANATATGTATCAAATGTAACAAATAACGAGGAAGTCTCACTAAGTACTAGTAAGTTTAATTTCTCTAAATATTATATGCGTCATTCATATAATAATCATGAACATATGATATTTCATTTTAGTATTTGATACATTGAAAGATATTCAAGAACGATTGAAACGAATAGAAAAAAATCAACTACGCATACTAGAAGCGAAGACATCAGAAAATTCTATATCAAAATTCACACTGGATAAACTGTACATCATGGTAAAAAACTTACACGATAATCGGTCTATTGTTAAAGACACAGGTTCAAAGCCGACAACTGACTGCGAAGAGCCAAATGAATTGGAAAGAAAATTCATTTTTCCATTAAATACAGTTTCTGATGTTCTGGCATTTAACTTAGCACTCAGTGATAAAGATCCAAGCTACAAGAAATATTTGGTAACTATGTATTTATATTCATTTACTTTTCCTACTGNTTTTATATGTTATTATTGCCTATTTTAATAAGCAATAAGCTAAATAAAATAAACTATATGAATAAGCAAAAAAACGCGCAATAAGTGCATAATATTCATTGTAATCTAAGTTAGTTTCAAGACCATTTGCTTTTTTACTATCTATATGCGACACCGAGTATGAGTACAAATAATATGTAATAATTAACTCAGTTTGCATTAAATATTATAGACTTATTTTTTACGACTGTATTATTACCTACTAAAATGTACAATGTAATATGACTTCTGACATCGCATNTCAAATTTGTGTTAGAAGCCGAGTCAACCTAACTAGGGATTTTTCGTAAAGACAGCGACTCTGACATATATTTAAAATGCGAAGAATGTTATTANATTTTATTATGCATAAAAACCCTATAATAGACAATAATGAATTATGACAACATTTCTCGCGTCTCAAATGTATGTCAGAGTCATTGTCTTTACGAAGGTTTGTTTATGCCAGTTCGACTCCGCTTCTGGCACATATTTGAANTGCGACGTCAGAAGTCACATTATTGTCGTATTTTAGTCAATAAAATATACTTATACACACAAAAAATAAGTCTAGAATATTCAATGCAACTTGAGTTAATTATCACAAATTATTAGTATTCGGTGTCTTATACGGATAGTAAGCAAATAGTTACGAAACAAATTTGGGTAACAATAGATGTTATGAACTTACTTTTTGTTTGTGAATGTATTTAATTATAGACTACTAATTCCTAACATATTTTTATATAANATGTAATTTATTATTATATTGTTGCGTTCGCGGCGCAAGATCCGACTCCGTAACTGAGCCGCGCGATTCGCGTAACCGTCCGCGGAAATGAGAAGGTACGCGGCTTTTCGTCAAACACACTTTATTACAACAGAATACAAGGAAAGAACAGCTCGTTATACAAATCGCCGAAACGCGCCGTGACAGCTTCGTATCTCTCTTGAACTTCTTTCGTAACAAACTCCGTTGCTACCCGAACAAAAACATCCAAGCAATCGATCGTTCGACAAACATCTTCTTATACCGCGTGGACGACACGCGCCGCATCTCGCAACAATATTTTTAGCTTAATACTTTTCAAAAAATTGGCGGCACAGAAGGGATGNAAGACGGAAAAATCGTCGCTAAAAATTTATTAGCCATTCTTTTTACAAAAGAAGTGTTGACGAAGTTTTCATGGACAGGAATTTCTAGGACCGAGGGTGTAAAGAAGGAAGCGTTTCAATCGTGCCACGGAATCATTAATTTCTTTGCGGAAATTGTTGGACTTGCAGATTCGCGGTGGAATGTTACAAAAAACGATGATTTATTTAAGAAGCATATTTTAAAACATGCTAAGCAAATCAATGATGCTGCCAAAAAAAAGAAATCACCTAATACAAGAAACGAGAGAACTGATGAGGTACCAAATGTTGCCGATGCAATTGTGGATAACAGAAATGTAATGCAGAATAATGAAATTATCGACAAGGATAATGGTAATGCAGAAAGAGAGGGAGAAGATAAAAATAATAATTAAATTATTTTATAGTTAAATGTGTCATATCTTTTTTACACTTTATTTGTTTTGTACCACGTAGCTTTAAGACGTTCATGTATATCTCACATATTTAAATAAATAACGTGCAATTGAAAACTCCTTTATTACAATTTTACATTAAATATTACAATAAATTACATTTTTAATTCGATGTCTAACGTATTAATTAACGGAATAAAAATAAATTCGTTGTGATATGGAATACAAAACAACTTACATTTTATTTCGCTTAACGAATATAATTTCGCGTCATGGACATCGCATATGTATTTTGTATGCCCTTCAGAAATTTTTTTAGGTATGCCTTTTGAAGCAAAAATATTCAATCGAGATGATGCAAAAGGTTTTGTAAAAAAATNGTTTTTGCTTTTAAGACTAACACCATAGACGTAAATTCTATTTTTAAAATAAGTTGCATTTCTCATCAATACAATCTCTCCATTGTTTGTCATGAAATATCTATTTTTATTATCGCTACATAAAACAAAATTATTTGCTAAATTCAACTGCTTATAAACGTTTCTACACGTTGGCACGTCATGTATATCATTAATAATATTATTTGCGACACATGTTATAATTACTTGTACTTGTTGACCGATTAATTTTTGACAATTCAAGAATTTGTCGACTAATTTGACTGAGTGGCAGATTACCACTACGAACTAATCTTTTTATGTGTCCGAGATAATTTTCGAACGGATGAGCTGATTCCAGATAAAGGACCAAACTTTTTTACGTCATCTATCACATGACAAATGTTATGAACATTGCTGCTTATAAAATCTTTTCCGTAGATGTCAACAAATTTCTCAATATAATCGTTTAATAAAGTTTCAGCAATACTTAAATACTTAAAATAATAATTACATGAAAGAATTGTAACTGCGCTACTCTGAGGTATAAAAAATGTTCATAAATTTCTGATGATAATACATTTTTTAAAACTACGGGACCAAGATATAACAAAAAAATTCGATATTCCGCACCTTTCCAAAATTTCAGATGTTTCAGCGAACGTATAGCTCGAGGAATATCCATCGGTTTTGTTTCATTACATGCTTTTAGCATTTCTGATAATTCATCGACTTGAGTCTTTGATAACTTTGTTCGGAAATTATAACTTCCTTCACGCCATCCATATAAACACCTACGCATGATACCTGTACACATATATTTTATTATGTCAAGAAAAATAAAAAAAAAAGTTGAAGAGACCAGGACAATAATATAAAATTAAAAGCATACCTAAATCAAATAGATGTAACGAGTCCGCGACTACAAAGTCTTCGACCATATCGATCGGTAAAGCTGTTAAAGGCGTGTCTTCTTTGTGATGATCTTCGTCTGTTTTGTTGCGAAAACATTCATTAGTCCTTCGAGGACAATCAAATCTTGGGTAGCTCATGTGACGTCCCTTCTTATCCCATTCTCCAACCACTGTACATTTAATACAACTCCCATATTCGGCATTACAAGTCGGTTCCTATATTGAATAATATACATAATGCATTTTTTAAAATAATACGCATTATAGTTCATGAAACGTATTTATCACATATTAAATATTATTTAAACATTATTTAATTTAGTACCTTTTATATAACTTCTTGCTTGTGTATCGCAAATAAAGCACTTTATTTTGACAATCACTTTGTATCCATTTATAAATATTCCATCTCTAAGAATTTCATTTAATTCATTCACAAACTGTTCAAAGTACAACTGAAGTGGAGGCTTGCTTTCACCGTAATAAACTGCTACAACTATTGGTTGTAAATTAAAATTTTCAACGATGATTGATATAGGCCAAAATTGATATAACGAACTATTGAACGGTGATATCCTATCTATGTTGATAAGTAATCTAATACTTCTTGGCTGTTGAATACTGCAATTTGACAGCGCTGATAGTAAATTGTTTTTGATACCATTGTACCAAAATTTTCCTGATCCCATCTCTGCAATTGCTGTTATGCTAGGAGTTTTTAAAAGAGTTCTACNGTCCTTTGGCAGATCCGTCATGCCATGACTTCTCAATATTTTTAACAAATCAGTAAGTGATGCTAATGTCAATGAATGTGAGATTGCCCAATTACGAAGTTTGGTTATCAGTGCCACTTTATCTTCTATTGCATTTTCTTCGTTTCGGTCGAACTCATCTCCAGGAATGACATCAAATTCCAACAACTCGTCACGAGTTAACGGCGAATTACACATGTCATTTACAGAGACGTCTAAATGTTGTGATACCGCAATTATGTTTTCACTTACACTATCATTATTAATTGTTCTTGCAACATCATTACTAATGAAAGCAGTTATTGTTGTATTATTTACACTAGTTCCACTGTTTTTTTGGCATGTCTATAAAAACTTGTCGTTAAACGGTACGGTTTATAATTGTTTTTTTTTGACATCTTTACTTTTAAAGCAGCAAGAATAAACAGAATGAAATATGCACGTTGTCGAAAGATGCAGCTATTAAAAGTTTTATTCAGTAGTTATAAGTTAGGTTATTGAGAGGTTGTTGATTTCTAGACGCTTAGTCAATCACTAACTTTGAGGACAATTTTGCTGATCATTTTGACTTACTCTCAGTCCAAATTTCCTAATAGGGTATTTTCCGTGGTAATCTCGACTTTAAGATTATAGCTCCCACCACGATCCACGATCGTTGTTACGTGCCGCGATCCCTCGCCGCTCAAGTTAGGATTTTATCTACTTCTTTTGTTGACACATGTGACCCGCCGAAATCCTACGCTAATAAACACAGCCCGATAAACTTCCTCTCCTTACAAACTCTCTCCCTAAATTCCT